CAGGCATTTGGTTGAGGCGGTGGGTGTCCAATCACACTGGCCTCCCCTTGCTCACCCTGCCTTATCTTCTTCCACCTCGCTCTGTCTCACACCTATGCTGGTGTATTGGCAGGACACTGCCCACCCTTTTTGCCTGGTTGCGCGGACGCTGCGGGCAGAAATTCGAATTTTCATCTTGGAATGCTGTGATTGTTGGTTATCAATGAGGGATTTTATTATTGAATTAAGTTTTTGTAAATTGACTCGCTTTATTCTGTGTTGTCACTGCCCTGAGCCCTGTCTCCCAGGGGAGGGTGGGATACAAAATAAATAAATACATCTGGATCGTCTGGAGATCAACTGTAATAGCAGGAGATCTCCAGGTGCTACCTGGAGGTTGGCAAACCTACCTTTACCTGAGACCCGGGAAAGCTGCTGCCAGTCCGACCTTGATGGACCCCAAGGGTCTGATTCGGTATACGTGGTTTCAGAAGCTCCTGCTGTGTGCCTGTTATGCTAGCAAAAACAAGCGCCCCTCCCATCAACAAGAACATGTTGGGAGTCCTGTGTGCAGCCATCTGGCCGGCAGCCCTGCGAGGGTGTGACCGATTCACAGTTGGTACTTTCGACCAGAAATTAAAACTCGTCCTCTGACTCTGCAGCCGTCTTCCGGATTTTACTCAATGCTCTGTTTTCTTGGGCTTGAATGACGGAGCCTGCAGGCGGTTATCAATCTTGAAAGACTCTAATTATTCAGTAGCGCTCCCCTCCCCTCCAAATCCACTCAGTACAGACTAGTAAATGGTTATGATGACAATTTAAACTCTCCAAAACAAAGAAATGCAAATGAGGCCTTTCTTATAGCTGGTGAGTCAGTGCAGAATAAGATCTCAGGGTAGTGTCCCTGGTTGTCCTCTCCCATGAAAAAGATCACACGTAGCAGGGCTGGTGTCTCTTGCCTGAGACCCTGGAGAGCGGAGGCCAGGCTGTGTTTGACTCAGAGGTGGAACTCAGGCATCATGGCCAAAACGCGGTTTGATCAAACACCATTTTATTGTAAGGTCTGAACGGGACAGTCGCAAACTAGGGTGCCGAATTTGTTTGTTTAACCACAGTTGGTATTAACTCTGGTTTGTTGCAAGGTGTCACTTCACAAAGAAGGTGCCGTCCTGGCTGGGAGGCGAAGAAAAGGAAAGAAGCGGATGAACTGGGATTCGTTACTCATGCCTGAGTGGTAGATGAACCAAATCCTGGTTTTACCATAATGCAGTGTTCCCTCTAGGCTGAGTTAGTGTGAGCAAACTCACAGTTTTTTGGCCTCTGGCTCACGCATTTTGTCTCAGCTCAGGAAGGATGGCTCCAGAGCAAACTAATTTATGCAGCGGCCAAATCGCTCACTCACAACTTTAATGCCAGTAGCTCGCAAAGTAGAGTTTTGCTCACGAGACTCCCCAGCTTAGAGGGAGCATTGCCATGATGTCTGAATATAGTCCGAATTCGAAGCAACTTCCTGTTGTCTTAGTGCTGCATTTTCACCTGATGAATAGGATGGGGGGGGGGAAATGTTCTTAAAAATACTGAGGATGAGGACAGAATGGAGCCAATGGGCAGTTTGCCCCGCATAGTAGGCTGGATTGCTTCCTCTAGAACAGGGGTGTCAAAAATGTGGCCCAGGGGCTGGAGCTGGCCCTTCCAGAGGTCTTATCTGGCTCGCAATCAACTGGTGCGAGAGAGAGAGGGAAGGCAGGAGGCTGTTTGGGGGGGAGTGGGTGCGTGGGCACACATCTTCAGGTGTGTGTGGTTAAAGCTGCAGCTGTCAAGAAACAAAAGGAGATGGCTAGGGGGTGGGTATGGTATCCCTTGGGGAAAAAGACTAGTTTTGCATATGATTAAATACATTTATTGGGGCTTTTTGTCAGCGAGCTGCCATTTCCTTGGGATACCTCTCGTCCCTTTTCTTGTACCCACCCCCTCCCTCACTCCTGTAGTTGTTATCCTTTGCATGTAGGGCATCTGTAACTGCCAAGGTTCTCCAGCTGGTGTGATGTGGTGTTGTGTCTTAACGCTCTGGCTTGTTTAGATTTCCCGTGTGAACTCAACGAGTGTTTATGGAACTGGCCGTTGCTGTTCTCAGGCCGCTTCGCGCCTTTTCTAATCTGTAACCTAAAGAGGGAAATGAGCTCATTGGTTTAAACCTTGTTTGAAGTTCCTTTAATACACCTTCCCTGGGCATTGTAGTTATTCCTAACAATCTCTGTATGTTCGTGATCAACCATGCTTTGGAAATAAATCTTGCTTCTCACTAAGAGGACTGGATCCGGCTCGCACGCACTAACACGGAACAAGCCGCTTTCAGTGCACTTTCCGGCTGGATTTTATTCATTCGTTCCATTTACACCCGGCCCTCCCCACCAAGGCAGGCGCAGGGGGGCGGCCGTGAAGCGGCAAAATCCCCCTGGAAAGGGCGCTGAGAGTGGGTGGTGTCTCGTGTGTGTGTGTTGCCGTGTGTGTGCGCGTGTGACCGCCGCCTGGGTTGGGGATCCGACGGAGGGGTGTAAAGATGTCTTTGCTTGCGTGTTAAAACGGAAGGTAGAAATCAACCTCAGGTGGGACGGACGGGATTTCCAGACGGGATTTCCGGAGAGATCCGGCCTTCAGAGGAGGCCCGTTTGCCTCCGGTGCCTTGACCGCCACGTTCACTCCGGCTGGGGTAGCGCGGTTGCCGGGCCTTCACCCCAAGTCCAGGGCGCTCCGCGCTCAAGCAGGCCCCGCGGCTTTGGGTGGGCCTTTCCTCCGCCGGGCGCTCAGGCTCCCGGCCCACCCCCACCCCCCGCCTTCCTTTCCTGCCGCAGGAGGCGGGGGGGGAGGATCCCCCTTGGATCCCGAAGCGGCCTCGGAGGCGCGGAGACTTCTGGCCACGGGTTCGGGTCCCAGACTCTCACGCGCGCTCTCCCTTTGCCTCCTTCTCCAGCCAGCGACAGAGACTCGCCGGAGGTCTCCGAGGAGGGGCACCCGGCCCCGGAGCTGAGCCCGGCCCCGCGGAGGGAGGAACTGGCCCGCGGAGGAGGAGGCGGCGGCGGCGGGAGCAGCAGCAGCAGCCTGGCGGAGGAGCGCGGCGGTGAAGAGGCGGAGGGCCGCGCCGCCG